TTGATAATCAATACGGAAAACAACAAACTACTTACGTCTTAGAGTATTTATGCAACATACATCCATAGGGCTGCCACTCATGATCACCTTTATAACGACCAGATGTCAGCAACCAAGTACAGGAATCAGGCCCTAAAGATTCAATAAAATAATATAAAATTACTGACAAAAAAAAGAACTATCGGTCTAAATGGTTTACACGATAATGCAAAAAGTAAACTGATGGCTTTTGATAAAGCATATTATTTTAAAAGAATCAAACGCTATTTATTAATAATTGTATAATAAACAAGACTCACCATATCGTAGATGTAATATTCCGTGGTAACCAATGAAGCCTAGCACTAAAACAAAAGCCACTAATTTTGCATTTTCAACATTCAGTTGGTCAATAAACCACTCTGCCGATGTTTTCTTTGGATACACCATAGCGAAATAAATAAATTTATGCCCTAGACATTAGGTATTTTTCAAGTGATAGCTTGCAAGTTTATCATATGCAATTTAAATTACCATATATTTAATAACTGCAACGATATTTTTAGTAACTCCCAAAATATTAATAAATCGTCCATCGTCCATAATATTATCTATTTTTTAGTTTTAGGCTTGCTTTAACACCATGACAGTGACAGAAGGACTGTCAGTCAATTTTTTTTATTTAACTGGCTTTACGGCTCTAGGTACTAGCCTTTCTAAACTTATCATTTTATTCGGAATCTTCATTTTATATATTTTTTCTTCACAATATGCTAGTGCTTCACATTGCGAAGTTTTTGGGAGATTTTGGCGGCAGCTCAACCCAGCGGACTGTTGATGACGACAACCACTCAAGTTCATAAGGCGCCTAAGCGATCAAATTAACTTGAGGTTTATATAAACAACAAAGCACTTATTTCGTCGTTTTCTCTAATAGTTCACACGCGCAGACACTTATTTCATAAAATCACATCACTTTTACCAAACCATTATTCAAGCGACAAAACAGGAGCGACAGTCCGTCGTCGGCCAAGTTCTCGCCAAAACTCCAAGTGTCAGTCAAGCTGACTGATAGTAAAAAAATCAAAAAGATTGTTAATGTGGTTACGATTTACCAATTAAGGCAAGCAAAGGTCTTATGGCATACGAACTAGGCGTATACGTCACACATTTTGAAGTTTCCGGAAGATTGATCACAGTAGTGTCTCAAGCCACCCAATCGTATAAAACCACGATATTTTTATTACCACCGAAGCAGTTTTTACATTATGCACTAAGAATTCATGTACGCATATATACTCAAGATTACGCCATTTTTACGAATCAAAATATACTTCATATAATTATTATAACGATAGTAAAGGATTATAATGTATACATGATAGAACCATGTTGCAGTTATATTAGTAGTATAGTAGCACGAATGGGTCGGCTCGACCGGGGAAGGACCAGGCTCTCACAGAATACCAGCGTCAAATAGTAGCTGAATGCTGCTGTGTTTCGTATGGTGAGTGTAGAGAACCGGAGACCTTTTTTTTTCTTTTATTGGATGTACACAACAGTTTACATTCAATTTTACGTAACATAAATACCTATTATACACAAAGTTTTGACCAACATGAATTATCCGTAAACATATTTATGTATTATATTTTACTCAAAAAAAAATAACAATTTATAAATTTACAAATTTTACGACAATATAGTAAAAGTTTATTATGACGATAAATAATTAATGTGGAGTTGACTTGAAGTAGTGGAATAGTTGAGTACGTAGCTTATTTACATTGTTGTCAAAAACATCAATGTCCTTACCTGAATCCGTTAGAACTATTTCATTATAAGAGCGACACATTCGTGTTAAAGGATTGTAAAATGAAGTATTGTTCTTATAGACGTTTAATATAAACGTATTAAGACGACGCCTGGGATTTGACTTAATATTTAAACTTGAAAGTGATTTGGGATAAAAGATTTGGGGAAACAATTTTGCAGTGTATTAGTTTATGTAAGCAAAGAATATCTTGTATAGCGCGTCTATTACGCAGTGATGAAACTCCAAATGTAAGTAGTCTCTCCTGATAAGACGGTAGCTTGCGACTTATTTTCAGCCTATAACTAACTATCTTAAGAGCTTTGTTTTGAATCTGTTCTAGACGCTTGGAGTGCACTTCGTAAAATGGAGATCATACAACAGAACCATACTCAAGAGTACTTCTTATAGAAGAGATGTATAAATGTGGATGGTTTTTTGAAATGTTTGGTTGTTCTGGTAATAAAACCTGATGTTTTGTATGACTTAGAAATAATGTAATCATAATGATTTCTGAAAGTAAGTTTTTCATCAAAATAAACACCTGTTTTAACTGAATTACGCTTAAGAATTTGACCTTCAAGTATAAAATCATGATTTATTTTATTGCGTTTGTTGGTAAAAGAAATAACGGAACATTTTTTTATATGTAAGTACATACAGTTTTGTTTGCACCAGTCAGCAATTGTGTTAGCATTATTTTGCAAATCAATACAATCATTAAGGTCATTAATTTTCTTGAACATTTTGAGGTCATCTGCGTATAATAGACAAGGACAGGTTAGTTTTGGGATTAGATCGTTTATGAAAATAAGAAAAAAAAAGAAAAAATAGAGGGCCCAGATGAAATCCTTGTGGTATACCTGATTTAATGATGACGGCAGTTGATTTATACCCCTTTACAGTAACTAATTGGCTACGGTTTTCTAAATAAGACTGTATCCATCGGAACAAATTACCATGGATGCCGTACCACTTGAGTTTCTGAGAAAGCAATGCATGATTCACTTTGTCAAAAGCCTTACGAAAATCGGTATATATTGTGTCAACTTGACCACTTACTGCGAAGGCTGAACAAAGATATGCCTTATATTCCAATAGATTTGATATTGTGGACTTTCCCTTGACAAAACCATGCTGTTGCTCAAAGAGAGCTGGTTGTACATGATAATAAATTCGATCATATATTACAGATTCAAACACTTTCGCGGTACAAGAAAGAATACTGATCGGTCTATAGTTTTCGCATAACGAATAATCACCTGATTTGTGTATTGGAACAACATGTGCAAGTTTCCACTCTGATGGAAACGACCCTGCTCTTAAAGACTTATTAAAGAGAATTGTCAAGGGTAGACTTAGTTCAGTAGCACATCCTTTGAGGAATGTAGGTGGTATTTGGTCTGGTCCCGCCCCTTTATTAAGATTTAGTTGTTTTAATTTAAGAATTACATCATGTTTTGACACAGTAAATTCCGATAGCACATTTTCACACATTTTGAGTGATGGCAGTACTGATTGGGTGGAATCTTCGAATACTGAACTAAAGTACTGCGATAGTAAATCGCAAATTCCTGCTGCGTCTGAAGCTCTGGCATTACCAAGCGTTATTGTGCTTGGGATAGCTTTTTTAGCTTTTCTGTTATTAACAAAACTCCAATAAGTTTTGGTATTTGTTTTGATAGCGTCTTCAGTTACGTTAATAAAAGCAGAATAACATTTCCTCCAACAGAGACATGGATCTAGCACGCAGCATGGAAAATGTATCGTAATCTCGGGGATTACCATACATTTTATACTTTTTATGGAATTTTTTCTTTTCTGCAAGGCACTTTTTTAGCGCTGTTGAGAACCATATTGGGTGAGTGGAGGCTTCTTTTTTTAAAGGAACGTATTTAACAATAATTTCGCTAATTACTGAATAAAAGGAATCCACCGCCAAGTCAACTTGGTCGTCTGAAAGGAGAGTCCCCCAATCAACACCCTTGATTTCTCTACGTATAGCATCTTAGTTACCTTTATTAAAATTAAAATATTATTATACTTAGGTTTGATATACTTTGGCTTATACAGTGTGTTAACTGATATTTCAAGTGGAGGGTGATATTTATCGATACGGGATAATGGGCTAGTTTCAGAAATTAAAATACTAGTAGAGGAGGACAAAACAAAGTCTAAAGTGCGATCTAATTCATTCCGAACATGATTCATCTGATATAAATTGCATTGAGAAATGTAATCACATAATAAAGTAGCCTTAGAGTCTGTGGGACAGCTTGGAGCAAGGTAAGGACTATTACCAATTAGATTAACAGACCATGATAAACTTGGCACATTGAAATCTCCCAGTACTATATTAGTGTCATTTGAGGATATTGTACTTAAATTTTTATGTAAGTTCTCGTAAAAGTACTTAAGTTTATTAGAGGGTAAATCAGGAGGAAGGTAACAGAGACATAGGTTAATGACAGACTTCATTGGACAATCGAGCAAAACCGATATCCACAATTCTTCAATGTCACTCTCCCATTCTTTATGGCGAATTACCTTAAACTCCTTTTTAATAGCTATCAGTACACCTCCACCTTCAGATTTGTTAATACAAGTAGACTCTCGGTCTCTCCGGTATACAATGTAACGACAATCGAACAGCTCATTATCAAATGCAGTGTGATTTAAGTTTGTTTCAGTTAAACAAATACAATCGTAATTGCAATTTAGTATGTTTAAATATAACTCTGTTGTCTTTGATCTTATACGATTTACATTTTGGTAGTAAAATTTCATGTAAGAACGTTGTTAAGAATCCAAGTAAATGTATCAGTCAATTCAGCTATTACAAATTTTTTAATTCACGTAATCTAAAACAAACTCACTTTACTTTAAGTTTCTCAAAGTTACTAAAGTCTCTAATCAATAATGCTGATTCGTTGTCATTTTTCCGCATGTACACACGTTCATATTTAACCCAAACATATTTGTATGAGTTATCTTTCGCAAACTTCCTAGCTTCAGCATAAAGCTTTTTGGTAGTAGAAGAGAGATGTTCATTTATATATATGGCACGATATTCTCCTTCAATCCCAAGGCAGGTAGAGTTTAAGTGATTGGGGTGGTTAGTCTTGTTGTAACGTTTTACTGCCGATAATAAAATGTCCCTCTGCCGCTCAGTTTGTAGTGTAAGGAGAAAGTTTCGTGGTCTGTCGGACTATGGATTTATTTTAGCAATTCTACGAACAGCACAGATGCAGTTCGTATCCAGAGTTACATTCACGGTGTCATAAAGTTTTTGTATAAGATGTAGTAAATTTTCATGACGTTTTTCCGGAACCATTTGGATTTCAACGTTATGGTTTCGTGAGATTTCTTCGACGCTCATTAAACGACGATCTAATGACTCAATATTTGACTTAAGTGTAGTTCGCTCAAGTTCTAGGGCTTTAATTTTATTATTAGCCACCTCAAGTTCCTTTAGAAGGTCATCCTGCCCTTTCTGAAGAAAATCGGTGGCTACTGTGAAATCCGATTCTAACTTATTGATGGTATGGTTAAATTCTTTCGTCACCATTGTATGTACTTCTTGCACTACATCTATCTTGAAAGTACTTAGTTTATTTCGTTCGATTTGTTCTATGGTAACGGAGTCCGAGTTTTTTTGTCGCAACGCGTATTGAGATGCACTGTTACTAGATTTTTTCAAGCGTGATTATCATGACATATTAGAAATATCTGCCTGACTTGCTTGGAGGGAACGTATGTCGCGCTTACCAACTGGTGTACTATCATTTCTGCGCCGAGTTATATTAGTACAGGATGGGCAATACCACTTCCGCTTTTTTTTCCACGTATTCGTCGAAATACACTTGCTTCTCTATGTTGCAACACTCGTAATGAAACGTATTGTCACAACCAGCGCATTTAATGAGGCTGCCATCTTCGATAATGTGTCTACACGCACCACATTCCATGCTCGTAATTGAATCGAATAGTTCGAAACAATGATCAAGACCAAATACTCAAGATGTTAACAAAAGTCGCATACGCATTTGTAGCCAATGAACGATAATGCGTAGCCGCAATGCGATAGCGTATCGTAGCAAAGTTCGTAGCACTTTGTAGTCGATCTCCGAAGCGCCCCGAGCGCCAACGCTAACGCACGAGATTCACAGAGGGGAGGAGACGCAACTAGGTACTCCTTAGTCATAAGCGAATCGGCCCGAGCTCCACCGAAATCGACCGAATGCACGTATAACAACTTTGCAACCCGCACTTGATATTTGTTACTGATGACGGTGAATTAATAATTAACGCCACCAAAATATACACTGAGTTTGTTGTTATGGCTGTTAATATAACAAAATTCTTATTGCACTACCAGACACTATATTTGATGCACTTTAAAATGATATGAGTTTTGTTAGTATCTATTACCTTTTAACACTATTTATGATTATTTAATCACGAACGAAACATAAACGATGTTTACGGTACCGTATCTACACACTTTTTACTGGAAACGAGGCATTCCATCTTAGTCCTCACGGGTGACACCGCATCTGCATTTTGATTCGTAATCCAGGATAGATGTATATGTTTATGGGTCACAGCAACCACTTACCATCAGGCGGACTGTGTGCTCGTTTGTCACCGTATCCTATAAAAAAAATATACTTGGTGCATATATTGTATACGATGAGAGCTATGAAGAGACGGCCACCAAACCCCGGCGGCCCAGCTATTCCTGGTTAGGTTGGCAACCGTGGTAACGGCTTGGTAACATACAATGCACGCACACTGAAGACTGACGAGAAGATCCTGGAGCTGGAAGAAGAGATAGGCAAGTTACGCTGGAAAATTATAGGATTATCCGAGGTCCGAATAGAAGAAGAAGAGACGGTAATCCTTTGACCCGGGAACTTGTTCTATCACGGAGAAGGTGATCTGTCCCAAGGAGGTGTCGGATTTGTCATCTACAAGTCTTTCATTATCAACGCTGTTAAAATTGGGAGAGTGTCGACGAGGGTTGCGTAACTTATAATCAGAATCACCAAACGGTATTCACAGACGTTCATATAGGTTTACGCACCAACCTCGCTACATCCCTATGAGGAGGTGAAGGAAATATATTAGGATAAATCTAAAATCATGTATTCCTCCAAAACCCACTATACAATGTTAATAGGTGACTTCAACGCAAAACTAGGCACAAAAAAGAATTGTGAGCTAAAGGTAGTGAAATTGGGGATAGGGTAACGGAACCCAAGAGACCAACAGCTGGCCAACAAGGAGGGACTTTTTATGATAAACTTTTTCTTCCAGAAGCGGCACCACGAAAGTAGACCTGGTCGAGCCCCAACGGTTCGACAAAAAATGAGATTGACTTTATTAAAATCACTAGATGGCAATTGTTCAATGATATCTCAGTGATCGCGAGGTTGAAAACGGGCTACGATCACCGAATGGTAAGAGGCACAACGAACCTAACCGTTAAAATGGAGAGGTCAGGTCTAATGAAGTCAACGCTCCGTCAACCTCGTACTCTAATCCGAAGTCCGGTGAACGTACCATATACTCGAAGTTGTTGACGAGTATGTTTATCTGAGACAAATAGTCCGACTAGGGAAGTACAACTTCGACTGAGAAGTCAATTGAGGGATTAAAGTCGGCTGGATAGCGTTCGGGAAATTACGGCACATCTTCTTCTAATAATGATAATAAATACTTTTAATTCTCAAAAATTAAATATACATGTCTTGGAGACGCCTCAGAGAATAATTTTCATACTCGTATTGGGGATGCCTCGCTCTTCAACCCATTTTACAATTTTATAAAATTTAAAAATATTTACATAATTTAATGAGGAATAGTTCATAACATTAAAGAAAAAATTTTGAACATAAAGATGGTTAAGCTAAATAAACTTTACATACATAAGTGTGAGAATGTGTGTGTGCGTGTGTGTGTGTGTGTGTGTGTGTGTGTGTGTGTGTGTGTGTGTGTGTGTGTGTATGTGATAAGTCTTATTAGGTGTATGTTACTTATATAATTGTATTTATGAGGTTCTCTGTTTCATCATAACTTAATTCTGATAAGAAATTAGTTAATATCCTTTTACAATCATATAACTTTTCAGGGTATATAATTGGTTCTTGATTTAGAGTATTATATAAGTAGGTAAGCGGACCGTGATGTCAGTTGAAGGCGAGCAAAGGCAGTACGTACTGCATGAGATGGTGCAACTTTTTCCATACGTATTTTATTGACATTAACTTTACTGGGGTTGAAAGGTAGTTTTTGGTGAAGGTAAAGAAGAAGTTTCAAAATACATAATTTCTTTACCGATAAGAGTCCACAGATTTTACAAAGTTCATGTGTTAATATCTATACAGTTTAAAGTTCATCAACTTCAAGACATGAATACAGCATGTGAGTACGGACTGTGCAAGGGCAACGTAAATTTTGTATAGTAAAGTACTGAACATAACATACCTTCGATTTTTAAAGATCCAAATAAGCTCAAGAATCCTGTCAATAATCGTTTCAACTTGACTATGTCATGAGAGCCTTTGATCAACCATAACACCCAAGTATTTGATGCAGCTAACTTTTTCTATACTTGGACATAAACAACTACTGTCATTGCGACTCGCACAGGTATGAACCTTGAGCCAAAACTTAGCATCTGGTTGATCGAGAGAAAGAGTTCTCTGATCGAGAGAAAAATATACGTATTTAGTTTTTGTGGCGTTTAAGGTTAGTAGATTAGTGCTCAACCACTTGGCAATAACTGCTAAGCCCTTTTCAGCGATATTTTGCACTATTTCCCAAGAACACCTGGAGAAAATAACCGCGGTGTCATCCGCGTATGAGAAGATCTGTCCACAGTTCCTTAAGTTACACAATTGATTAATATATATTAAGAACAGGGTTGGACCGAGGACAGATCCTTGCGGGACACCTAAGACATTCTTCTTGACTTATGCTAGTGGTGATTTTAACCATTTGTTTTCTCTCAAGCGGGTAGTCTTTAAAGAGAGCAAGGGCTGTGCTCCTTATTCCAATGCTCTGTAGCTTAAGAACTGGTCTGGGGATAGAGACTGTGTCAAAAGCCTTTTTTAAATCAAGAGAGACGGCGAGACATTTTTCTCCACGATCGATCTTTTCTTTAATTAGCTTTGTTAAATCAGATATTGCGTCCTGTGTAGATAAACCATGTCTAAAGCCATATTGTGAATTCGATAGAACTTTATTATGGAACAAGTAACTGAGGTGTATTTTATTCAATAGTTTTTCTATGATTTTGGAGGTACATGACAAGACAGATATAGGACGGTAATTGTAACAGGGCCCTTGGAAATACACCTGTTTTGAAACACAGGTTGGCTAGTTGACTAATTAGTGGAGCCACAAAATCTTTACATCTTTGCAGAGAAAAAATGTTGGTATACCATTCCAACCTGGAGCACTTCCAAAGTCAAACTCATGAGTATATTAGAAACTTCCTGCGGGTCAGAGTCCAATAGAACAAACGAGGTTAGATTTGATTTAATTTCATGGGTATTATCATGTTGCATTAAAGAGATTTACCAATGTCGACGAAAAATTTATCAACTTCATTTACATATTCAAGAGGGTCTGGTGACAGATTGAGAAGGCTGACATTAGAAGTTTTAGTGATTTTGAATCAGGTTATTTCATTAATTTTAGATTTCGCTTTTATAATACCGTCTTTTTAATTTCCTAATTAGATTAGTGCAAAAGTTTCAAAATGTTTAAAAGTTATTTTAAAACTTCATTAGCAGGTTCTTGTTTTTCTTTCAGTTGCAGTTGCTATTCCTAAGCCTAATATACCGCTAAGCACCCGTGGTAATCCACGGTTTTAAAATCCTTTTGCTGTTGTTAACCAATTTAATTTTAGAATAAGTAACAATTGCTGTTTTTAATGTATCAATTATGATATCAGCAAACATGTTTGGATCTCTACAAGTCTTAAAGTGAGATATCTGTATTTACAAGTGTTAAATGGGCTAACTTGTAATCGGTAAAAGATTTAGCCTTAGGAAACTTATTCTTTAGTTTGTAGGATTTATTAATGCTGAGTAAAACCATAGAATGATCTGTAACTGTTGTATTAAGTACTGCTACAAGTGCTGATTTTGTATGTTTAACTAATATTAGGAACACACGATCAAGGCAGGAAGGAAGTTGTCTTGTCTAGTGGGTAAGCAATGACTGGACAAGAATCCATGTAAAAATAAAATTTCTAGGTAGTACTGCCTGTTATTGTGCTTATACGCTAGCTCTATCGATTTAGTAATAAGGTTAATATTAATATCTCCAGTTAAAATAATATCCTTAAATGAGGCTATAGTTTCCAGGTGCGCATTTATGCAATCAATAAACATATCAGCGTTTGCAACTGGCAGCGATCTATAGATATCCAATATAATGAAGTAAGACACTAGCCAACCTGTGTTTCAAAACAGGTGTATTTCCAAGGGCCCTGTTACAATTACCGTCCTATATCTGTCTTGTCATGTACCTCCAAAATCATAGAAAAACTATTGA